TTCATCAGGAAAGAAGTCATAAGGTGTGAATTCTTCTTACTTAAGGCAATGGCTTTGGTACTCTTTCAAATAGCCAGCACCCATAGTCTCCCTCCCTCTCTCTCTCTCTCTCTCTCTCTCTCTCTCTCTCTCTCTCTCTCTCTCTCTCTCTCCCCATGTGCCATGCTCCTGTGCATGACTGCACACATGTATGTGGGTACACACGCGTATGTGGAGGTCAAAGGGCAGCCTTGGATATGTTCCTTGGGCACTGTTCACCTTTTCCCTTTTGAGTCAGGGTCTCTCACTGGTCTGGAACTCCTTAAGTAGGTAGACTGGGTGGCCAGTGAGTTCCAGGGATCCACCTCTCTCCACCCCCTTATCCCTGGGATTACAAGAGCTTTCTACTGGTGCCAGGCTTGTTTTGTAAAAACAGGGGTCCTGGGAATCAAACTCAGGTCCTTGTTCTTGTGCAAGTACTCTGCTGAGCTGGCTCTCAAAGCCCTAGTTTTTTCTTTTTTTTTAATTGAATAGTATTTTATTTTATGGAAAGACGATATTAAAAATTTACCCATCGAAGCCGGGCGGTGGTGGCGCACGCCTTTAATCCCAGCACTCAGGAGGCAGAGCCAGGCGGATCTCTGTGAGTTCGAGGCCAGCCTGGTCTCCAAAGCGAGTTCCAGGAAAGGCGCAAAGCTACACAGAGAAACCCTGTCTCGAAAAAACAAACAAACAAAAAAAACAAAAAACAAAACAAAACAAAAAAAATTTACCCATCGGTTAATTGAAAGGCACTTGGGTCATTTATCATTTTTGGTTGTTGTAAATAAAGCTTTCAGGAGCATACATGTATAAGTTTTCGTATAAACATATGTTTTGATTTATTTTTGGAAAAATACCCAGGAATTGTACTTTTGTGGAAATGGCAATTGAATATTTAAACATGTAAGAAAATACCAAATTACTGCAAAGTGGTTGTATCATTTTGTATTCCTATTAGCCATGTCTGAGAGTTCCAGTTGCTCCATGCCCCTCCTAGCACTTGATATCATCAGTCTTTTTACTTTCAACCATTTCAGATATATTTCTATAGCCAATTGTGCTTTCAATTTGGGGTTTTCTTATGGAAGGCAACTGTATTATTTCAGTTACTTTTTTATGTATAATTGGCCTCTTAAAAACAGACTTTTCAATCCCCAGTACAAGCTCACAGCTGCAGAAGGAATGGGACAATGGGACAAGCCTGTCTAAAGACCAATGGCTCTCACCGAGTCACTGTGATTCAGAGCAACTGATCATTCCATTGCTCATGGCCATGGCACTCAGATGCCTGAGCAGAGGTAGTGATTTCTTTGAGTTACCTGCAAGGGTTACTCTTCTTAGCTGGACACAGAGGTTCTCATTTGTCCATTTAATAAATGGTCATTGTGCACTGCTTATGTATCAGTCTCGACTCTGGGTGCCAGGCATGTGGCAGTGAATAGACAAAGTCCTTGCCCTTATGGTACCTGAATGACGCTAAAGGGTGAAGAATGCTTTAAAGATGAGTCAAGTAGGAATGGCCTACATGGTCAGAAAAGCTGCCACTTCATTTATAGGGGGGGATTCATTGAGGAGGTAATACCCCAGGATAAAGGACAATGCCCTCCCAGCCAGTTCTCATCAGAGAATTTATGAGGGTTTTTTGTTTGTTTGTTTGAGTAATCACCAAGTACAGTTCCATCACTGGCTTAGCTGAGGAAGGGAAGCAGATGGAGAGGACCTATAAATGGTAGGGAGTTGATGAGCTCTCTACTTCTCCCATCCCCACAGCTCAAAAGGCTTGTCTCAAAGAATGGTGATCCCCTCTAGTCTCAACCATGGACACATCTAGATTCTGTTGCCTTTAAACCTCTAGTTCAATGAGCTGCCAGGTCCAGGTTGTCACCAGGAGGCTTTTGGGTAATTGCCTAGCCTCCTTATGGTTTCTCTGCCTATAAACTTGTCCTCTTTCTCCCATCCCCATAGGTAAAGATTTCTAAAATAGCAAACCCCTGACTTCCTTGATTAAACCCCCAAGTACCATTACTAAATCTAATTTCTTACTCAAGATCTTCTATAGCTTGGACCCCTCGCTGTCTCTTCCTGTCTCCTGTGCTCTTCATCCTGACTGTTTCAAACTGTATTAACTGTCAGACTATTTCCCAAATGTATCTTGCTCTTGAGTCTTTGGTTTCCACAGACTGAGATTTTTCATCATCCCTTGAGGATGCTAGTTGGCCATCTTATTACTTGAGGAAGCTTTCCTAACTTCCTAAAATCCATATGAAGATTTCCCCCAGTACCCCCAAGCTCTCGAATGTCCCTCAGTTACAGCACTTATCACAATACATTACAATTGCACATGGGTGTGTAAACCTCTCTTTTAACCTGTACCCCATGACTGAAATTTCTGGTCATTCTTTTTTTTTCTTTTATCACTCCCGTGGTCCCCAGTGTTGTCCTAGTTGGTGGATAAACCAAAGAGAAACTGAGCGAATAATTACATACGTTAATGCATGAAGGGAGAGGTGAACGATGGTCAATGGCTCAACCTTCCAGGGGAGGCGAAACTGCACTGATAATGAAAACGCAGGTAAGACTGGCCACTCGTTGGACAGGAGGCTTAGCTTTGGTGCCTGGAAACCTGTGGTTCATTTCTCACCTCATCTCAAACAGCAGCAAAGAGGACTCTTGCTCACAGTGCCTGAGAGACCAACCTGGAAAGCCACTTTTTCCCTTCCACTTCATGGAGCCTGGAAGTACCATCCTTTTTAAAAAAACTAATATTTGCTCTCCCTGTCAGTGGCCTGAGGTGACCCGGGAAGATAGTTGGCTATTCTCTTGACCCAGAAAACTACGAAAATCAGGCAAATCAAGTGGTTCAAACCTCTGTGTTCACTTTAAGAACACCCATGAAACTGTCCAGGCCATCAAAAGTGTGCATATCCAAAATGCCACCAACTGGCGTATTGGAGAGATGCCACTTTAAAGAAACACTGTGCTGGAGTCGGGAGGCATGCCCAGGCCAAACAGTGGGGCTGGACGCAGGGTTGGTGTGGAAAAAAAAAAAAAAAAAAAAAGAGTGCCGAGTTAAAAAAATGCAGAGGGTAAAGCTGAACTTCTGAGTGTAGCTGTAGCTTCTCTAGTCACTGAACATGTCTGGTAAACAAAGTAGCTAGCATACGCGGACACACTTACGAGCTCGCAGCGGGATTAACCTGTACATGAGCTCCCCCTGTCACATTGAGAAGACCCTCACTGAAAAGGAACCAATTGTCCTAAAGCCACACGAGAAGGTTGCACGGAAGAAAAAAGATCCCAGAGGAAATGGAAGAAACAAAAACTTATGATGCAGAAATAAGTTCAGCAACAAAATAAATGCAGATAAATGATCAGACAACAATATTTTTACACTTCTTTATTTTGTGTGTATGTGGGGGGTATGCATGGAGCGTGGCATATGTGCAGAGGTCAGAGGACAGTTTTCAGGAGTGGGTTCTCTCCTTCTACCATGTGAGACCCCAGAATCGAACTCAGGTTGTAAAGCTTGGTGATAGCCACCTTTACCCCCTAAGACATCTTGCCGGTTCCAGTATCTTTCTTCTAAGAACTCTCAAAATCTCTCAAAATGGGGTCTTTCCTGTGTGCAAGCTGGAACAGTACCACCACCATACCCTGGTGCCTACCACACACCGGGAATGGGCACAACCACTCAGCCAGCATCTGAGACAAGGATACTCTGGCGATACACCGAATGTTTGAGATACACATAGGAGGAGAAGAAGGAGAATGTATGTCTAGCGCTTTCCAGGGACAGATGGAACAAATGCTCATGGGTCGGGCAGCTAATAGAAGAGGATGGAAGGTGGCGTCTTTGGTTGAATCTATTATATGTGACATTGATGATGTCTGCTGAGAAAGTTCAGTCTTGGAGCCAGTGAGATGGCTCAGCAGGTAAAGGTACTCGTCACCAAGCCTGATGACCTGAGTTCAATCCCCAGGATCAATCCCCATGGTAGATGGAGAGGACTGGCTCTTCAATTGTCCTCTTACTTCCACAGGTGTGCACGGCACATGTATGCACACACATACGCACACATGCATAGTAAATAAATTCATTTTTTTCTATAAGAAATTTGAGCCGGGCAGTAGTGGCGCACGCCTTTGATCCCAGCACTGGGGAGGCAGAGACAGGTGGATCTCTGTGAGTTTGAGGTCAGCCTAGTCTACAGAGCTAGTTCCAGGACAGCCAGGGCTACACAGAGAAACCCTGTTTCGAGGGTTGGGGAAGGAAGTTTGGTTTGCTGAAAGCCTACCTGGGGTGAGGATAGAAGCAACCTTCATCAAGTGACTTAACTTTTCTTTTCCTGTTCCCCCCAGTTCCCCATCTGTTACTGGGGAGAATAATCTGAGCCTCAGAGGAAGGCTGTGGACCAGAGCCCCTGACAGTTCAGTTTGGATGTCCCACCCATGACGGAGCTCCTCACTGTGCCTCTCCAACCCTCCCTGGGTGCCTCTGCGGAGCTTATCATGACAGTGTGGTAAGCCTGCTCCTGGCTTGTTTGCCTGTTACAGGGTAGGTGATCATACTTATGTAGACATCTGAGCCTAACCCAGGAGTAGAAGTGGAAAGGTAGAAGGTAGCTAAATTATAAGCTCTTTTCTTCTTTCCTTCTTCATGATGCTAGGATACAGAGACCATCCACTGTGGAAGTGATGATGCTGATCCCAAGACTACCTGTAGCTTCTAGGATCCCATATTTAGCAAGTCAGTAAATAAACATCTTCTTTATGGGCAGACAAACAACTTCTAGGTCAACAGACATTGCCATAATAAGAGGTTCCTCCAGAAACAGGGCCCAAACAACAATGAGGAAAAGAGGCAGGGGCCCCCCAAACAACATGCACCAGTGAGGGACTATATAAGGGAGGGCCTTGGAGAGATGTCACACTCAGGCAGCTACCTCCCAGCACTCACTAGAAGCAGAGGTACCTCCACCATGTCTGGCTGCTGCTGCTCTAGGAAATGCCCCTCCCTGCCAGCTGTCTCCCTCTGCTCTACTGAGGTGAGCTGTGGAGGACCCGTCTGCCTACCGAGCTCCTGCCGGAGCCAGACATGGCAGCTGGTGACTTGTGAGGACAGCTGTGGCTCATCTGGCTGTGGCTCACAAGGCTGTCAACCTTCGTGTTCCGTGAGCAGTTGCTGCCAGCCGGTGTGCTGCGAGGCCACCACCATCTGTGAGCCTTCTTGTTCCGTGAGCAGCTGTGCTCAACCTGTGTGCTGCGAGGCCACTGTTTGCGAGCCTTCTTGCTCTGTGGGCAATTGCTGTCAACCTGTGTGCTGCGAGGCCACCATCTGCCAGCCTTCCTGCTCTATGAGTACCTGTGCTCAACCGGTGTGCTGTGAGGCCACCCTGTGCCAGCCTTCTTGTTCCGTGAGCAGCTGCCAGCCTGTGTGTTGTGAGACTACACCCTGCCAGCCAATCCTCTGCTTGCCCGCATCCTGCCAGCCAGTGATCTGTGAGCCCAGCTGCTGCTCAGCTATCTGCACTGTGCCTGCTTCCTGTCAACCAATGGTCTGTGAGCCTGTGGTTTGTGAGCCTGCTTGCTGTCAGCCCGTGTGCCCGACACCTAGCTGCTGTCCATCTGTCTGCTCTGCAGCCAGTAGCTGCCAGCCAGTCTGCTGTGGCTCCAGTGCCTGTGAGCCACCTTGCTCAGAGTCCAGTGTTTGTCCGTCAACTGCCTGTATGGCTCTGGTGTGTGAACCTGTTTGTCTCCGTCCTGTCTGTTGTGTTCAGAGCCCTTGTGAGCCATCATGTGTCTCTAGCAGCTGCCAAGACTCCTCATGTTGTGTCTCTAGTCTTTGCCAACCTGTCTGCCCTGAGCCCAGTCCTTGCCTACCGTCGGTGTGTGTGCCCAGCCCGTGCCAACCTTCCTGCTACATAGTCAAACGATGCCGTTCTGTCTGCTGTGAGCCTGTTTCCTGCCCATCTACCTCCTGCCAACCACTCTGCTGCCGTCCGGGGTCCTCTGCATCTGCTGTCTGCCAACCAGCCTGCCCACCTCGCACTTTCTATATACCCAGTTCCTGCAAGCAGCCTTGCAGTCCTGTTCCCTGCCGCCCGATCTGCCGCCCGATCTGCTCTGGGCCCATTACCTTCAGGCAGCCATATGTGACATCCATCACTTACCGCCCTGCCTGCTACCGCTCCTGCTATTCCATCCTGCGCCGCCCCACCTGCCTGGCTTCCTACTCTTACCGCCCTGTCTGCTCCCGACAGCCTTGCACCGATTCTGACAACTCTAAGCCTGAGTGCAAAAAGTCGACTTCCAGCCAACCTGACTGTGCCGACTCAACACCCTGCAAGACAGAGGTCTCAGATGAGACTCCCTGCCAGCCCTCCGACATTAAACCCGCCAGCCCGATCACCCGTGAGGCTGCAGCTCCCCAGCCTGCGGCCGGCAAGCCTGCTGACCGTTGAGCCAGCCTCAGCTCACCAATTCCTGCCAAGCAACAGCCAAAAACCATAGAGAAACCAGGAAAGCCCTGTGCACAGCTCATTATGACTTAGCTAGAATCTTTTCCTTCCTACACTGCCATCCACCATCTACTATGCTTCATAGAACTCATCAGAAGTGCCAGCCTCCTAGTGGCCCCAGTGAAGGCCTCCTGCACAGAGAAAGGAATGGCCTTGTTTTCTGATGTCCTTACATGGAGGAGAGCTGCTCTGCCACATCATTGGGCTCTTTGCTACTCAAGATGCTTTCTGTCCTCATGCATTGTGTTGCTTGGGGGCATCTTCAGCAAGATATATAATCGTGCAATAAAAGTAGCAAAGTTGAAGTGACACACTGTTCATGCTCTTCTTTTTAATGTGACAGTCTCATCAGAGTCATGCTTCAGCTTGGAGAGAGGCTCTCCCCAGCCTCCTTCTGTCCATCCTTCCTGCCTTCTATCCTTCCCTCCCTCCTTCCTTCTATTCATCCATGCATGCCTCCATACACTCATCCTTCATCCATCCATCCATCTCACCATTCCTCCCTCCCTTCTTCCATAAATCTCTATTCATTCACCTGTACATCCATCCATCCATCCATCTGTTCATCCATTCATCCATCCATCCATCATCCATCCATCTGTTCATCCATCCATCTGTTCATCCATCCATCCATCCATCCATCCATCCATCCATCCATCCATCCATCCATCTGTTCATTCATCCCAGAATCCATCAATTCCCTCCTTACCTCCATTCATTATTCCTTCCATGTATGTTTTCTCCCCTTTCTTCTCTTCTTCCTTCTTTCCTCCCCCTTCCCTCTCTTCTTCCCCCTCCCTCCCTCCCTTTCCTCCATCTCCCCAACCCCCTCCTCTTCCTTTCCACTTCTCCCCTTCCCTTTAAAGATGTTATTGTTCTCGCTTTTCCTTCAATTATTTCTTCTTTCCCTCCATTTCTTCTTTCTTTTTCTTTTCCCTTCCCTTTAAAGCATCTATTGTTTACTAGCTTCTTTCTATTCTTCAGTCTTTGCTTTCTTCCCTCCCTTCTTCCTTTCTATTCTTCCTCTCTTCATTCCTTACTTCCCACCTCTCTCCCTTAACTCCCCCTCCCCTTCAAAGTGTCCATTGTTCTCTCCCTTCCTTCTAGTCTTCCTTCTTTCCCTCTTTCTCTGTCCCTCCCTTCCTTTCCTCTCTTTCATCCCCCCTTCTTTCTCTCCCCTGTTTTTCTCCCCTTCCTCCCTTCCTTCATCTCTCTTTTCCATCTCTCCTTTCTTCCTTCGTGTCCTTATTTCCTTCTGTCCTCCCTTCTTTCCTCCTTCCCTTCTTCCTTCCCTCCCTCCCTCCCTCCCTCCTTCCCTTCTCTCCCTTCCTCTCTCCCTCCCTTCCAACCTACTTATCCTTCCAACCAGTGGCCATTCTAGAACAGCTGCTAGGTAAGTGACAAGGATAGTGTTATGCTCTAGGAATGAAAGACAGAAGTCTCAGTCCCCAGTCTTTGGGCGATCACTCTGTGATGTGGTGACACACAGTGATGAGACAGTTATTATATTCCTTTATGCCAAGCAGAGGGCTCATATCTTGTGGTACAAGAAAGAATGAACCAGGTACAGAGAAGAAGGGCCTTTCTAGGAAGGAAAAGTACTTACAAAGGAACGAGGCTGGGAGCAGACTGCTCATGAGGTGACGCTTGGGCAGAGGTGTCCTCAGAGGGAAGGTAAGCCCTGAGCCTGGGTAGCAGGCAATGATCTTCCAAGAGAGGGCCTTGTGTGCTAGATGGAGGCTTGGGCTGGTGAAAGGTTTGTGTGAAGGACCAAGGGCCTGTATCCAGGGCAAGGACATGAAGAAAAATGAGTTTTGGAAAATCTCTCTGGCCTTGGCATGGAGAGCTCAGTGGGAAGACATGGCCCTGAATGCAGAGAAAATGGAAGAAACAAATCTCTGGGGGTCAAAGAGGAATGAAAACAACAAATGGGAGGAGTCTTGTTCGCAGGAGGGAGGGTTGGGCAAGGGGGTTTCTTGTGGGAGGGTTTTATGTTCTGATCCCCACAGACACTCGTCATCTTAATGTCACCTCTTACACCTTCATGCGCACGGTCCCTTCAAAGCAGCCACATCCTCTGCACACAGAATGGAGGGTGGTCTCCTGCCCTCCAGGTCTAACTTGAACCACCATAGTCACAGGAAGAGGACAGGCCAGGGCTTCTCAGCTTTGTCACTGTGGGCATTTGGATGGGACAGTTGCTCACTGAGGAGTCTTGGATATCATTAAACATAATTCCTGGTCCCTTAACCAGCCAGGTGTTGCCAGACATCCCCAGGGAGTCCTGCAATCAGCCACAGGAGAATCAGTAAATTTGGTGATGGTGGAGGGAGAAAGTCGATGGCAAAACTTATCTGCACATGGGCAGTAGAGTTACTGCCATAACAGGACCTTAGGATTTAGTTTCTCTCCTTCCAAAGTCACAAGAGCAGTTAGCCAGGGTTTTCAGCTTCTGTGTTAGGCACTAGACTTAGCGTTTTATGTAAATCACCATTATTCTTCAAGGTGGGATTTCCCCCTGCCCTGTTTCTCCTCTATGTGTAAGACAAAACAAGCCAAGCGCCAATGAAGAGACAAATAAAATGTGGTTTAATTAACACAACAAAGTATTATGCTGCAGTGAAAGTAAATGGAAGATATAGCTATATGCAGTAACACTGGTGATCCCTAATAAAGATGTTGATTGATTAAAATAATCCCTAGAAGATCATATGTGTTTCTAAAGTATAAAAACAATCCATACATATATATGTATGAATATACACACATAAATACACAGATACAAGGAAGATATGTATATCTTAAATATACATATATAAATACACACACATATATATTTTCAGGGTAGTTGCAGCTAATAAGTAACATACATTATTTCAAACTTAAAGTTGGGTGCAAAGTCTTTTTTTTTAAATTATAATTGATCACTATATGAGATGGAGAGAGAAAGAGAGAGAGAGAGAGAGAGAGAGAGAGAGAGAGAGACAGAGAGAGACAGAGAAGCAGAGAGAGACAGAGACAGAGAGAGAGAAGCAGAGAGATTTTACATAGTGAACATGCTTGTGTTGTGCAGGTGTGAGTGTGCTCTGTAGCCAGAGGACTTACTTCACTGGTCCCACTCCATCACTCTCTGACTTATTTCATGGACACAGGAACTCACACTGAAGCTGGGCTGATGACCAACAAACGCTAGTGATCCTTCTGTCTCAAACTCCAACAATAGTGAGGTCATGACTGACTCTTTATGTGGCATCTGAACTCTGGTCTCCACGGCTGTGGAGACAGCACTCCTAAACACCCAGTCCTCTCTCCAGCCCCATCATTGAATTTCTTGTTGCAGTCAGGAAATGTCTTTGAATGACATTGTTGATGTCTTCAGTGCCTTCAATCACATTAAGTTGATTGAAAATAAAAATCTCTCTTGATCGGGGCATTTTTTTTTAAGGAAGCAAAAGCAGAATCACTTAGAGAAAATATAGATGAAAAATGGCACTTTCTATCTATGCAACTGGTGTATCTCTGTATAGAGTTTCATTTTTTCAAATTGAAATTGATGTGATTTTTCAAATATTTTTATATTTTCTAGTTTGGTCAACTTATTTGGTGAGACTAAATGTATTTCTCTTGGGAGATGAAGAACTTGGGGGTAGACATATTCCAGAATAAAACATATTCCCCAGCTTTCCAAGTAGTAGAATTATAGGGGTGTAGAACGTCTGCAGTTTTAAAGACGACAGAGTAAGCATCATGAAAAGGTAGATGCCAGAAGCCATCCATGCCATGACAGGAAAGACAGTGATAGGGAAGGGCTCTTCAGTGGCAAGGGTGAATGTCTTCCAGACATGACTCTCATTAGGGGCTTATCTTCTTTTAAAGTAGAGGGTGGAGAGGGGGCCAATATGACAGGATTCCATAGCTGCTCCTTTGCCAAGCCCTCTCCAGAATCTTTAGCCATTTCAACTCTTTCGGAGGCAGCTGATTTAACCTAAGAAACATCAAGGCAATTTATGATGGCTCGGTACTTTGAAGACGTGGGTAATGAGCAAACCTGTTCCACAGAATGAGCTGCAAAGCCAGAAGTCAAGACTAGCCCTGCCTGCCATCCTACACCATCATCTTTCCATTCCATCGCACGCCTCCCGCAGGAATGAGGCCAAGATGGGCACTTCCGTGGGATGCTGGAATCAGTCGGTGGTGCAGCACCCAGGTGAGCCTAGAGGAAAAGGAGACAGGGCCAGAGAGAGCACCACAGATTCTTCTTGGAAGAGATTGCTTGAACTTTCAAAGGCTTTGTGGAGACGATCTGGTATTTCTGGTTGTTGACATTTTATATTTGTGGAATTCATAAGCTGTTAACCTCCATTTTATGAGTTAATACTCCTTCATGAGATATTTGAAGGTTTGTTTTTCTTTCCCAGAAGTTTTTGAGAAGTTTCTCATACCCTGGTTCAGGCTGACATGGAACTTACTGTGTGACCCACACTGGGCTTGAACCTACAGCCATCCTTCTGCCTCAGCTTTCCAACTATCAGAATTATAGGGGTGATCTGCCATGCTTGACTAAATGTTTGTATTTTAAATTTCCGAATGAAAAGATTATCTCTGGGTGTATTACTAATTAGAGATAAACATTCAACTCATTTGAGTCAGCCAGCACCACACTGTGTTGGGGAGATGACCTCCATTGCAGGGCCTGGACACGCTGCTTGTGGGCCAGCCTTGCTGTGTGAATGCCATTCCTCCGCCTCCACAGTATGAGTCCTTTTCTCTGCACCTCCCCGGGAGATCCAGTTGAGCAGAGATTTTGAGAACAATCACTCTGGACTTGAATTTTGTTTTTAATCAAATTCAAACTCTGAGTTTGTTTTGCTACTTTTAAAAATCAGGATGCCAAGAATACTTACTAGCTAAGGTCATTTCAAGGATAAATGAAAATACCACCAAGGGCTTGATCATATATGGCAAGTGTGCAGTGAATGGAAGCTTTAACAGCTGTTACTTGTTGGCAGCAATTTGAAAGCTAAGATTCTGTAGAGAGGGGGCACATTTCAACACCCTCAGGATCCACCGACTCGTTTTCTCTTCTCTGTCTTTGCTATCATACCTCTCTCGAGATTCCGTCAGTGCATCACCTGATCCTAATGGCACAGACCTGCGTACCTGAGGAAGAGTGGCTTCCGCTTGGGGGAGGCCTCCTGATGAGAGGGTAGTGAGGAAAGCCTGCTGCGTTGGTGAGGCTGAGAAACAACCCGTAAAGGAGACAGCTCATTCCACAATGGCATCTGTGCCTCCAAATTCGGGCGAAGAGAACTCCTAGCTCAGCAGACAGGTTTGTTATTTTTAAGTGGGGGCATCTTCCCCAGCTCCTGAAGCACTAATCTGATGTTTATATGCAAATGAATAAGAACAATAACAAGGAAAGATGCTGTGGGTGGTGCCAACACCCCAGGGAAGGGCTATAAAATCCCCTTGAAATAAGATGCTTTTTCAGACTCAGACTGAGCTTGTAGCTTCCCAGCCAGGCTAGCAGGGACACCATGAGAGACAGCCATTGTCCTGGAAATCCCAAGGCTGTCCCACCTGTGCCCACCATCTCCACATGCTCCAATGGTGGCAGCATTAGAAATGCTATCCGTTTGCCCAGTTCCTGCCAGAGTAGGACATGGCAACTGGTTATACATCAAGAAAACTGCAAACCATCCAACAGTGCCCCAGTTACCTCTGAACAGGTTTCTTGTCCATCAACCTGTTTTCCAGACACTTCCTGTGTGGGTTTTGTTTGCCAACCCATAGGTTCACACGCAGCCTGCTGTGCACCTGACACCGGTGGGCCTCCTCATCCAGCTGCCTCATGCCAGCCCTCCTGTGTGAAATCTGCAGTTTGTCACACGACGTGCTGTGATAATAGCCCCTGCCACCAGACCTCCAGCCAGGAACCCGTCTGCACATCAGAGTCATGCCAGGCATCATGTGGCCCATCCACCTACGACGATGATGATGGATCCTGCCAGCCATCCTGCTCTGAAGCAACTTCCTGTGGCGAGATCCTGTGCCTACCAGTCAGCTGTGAGGCTGGTCCATGCCAACCAACCTGCTGCCAAGGAGGGTCACATCAACCCATCAAAGATAAAGGTCAGCTCTGCGAGTCAGTTTATTACCAACCTGTCTGCTATATTCTCAAGCCCTGCCAGTCAGCTCCCTGCATGCCTGTCTCCTGCCAGCCATTAACTTGTGTGTTCAGTTCTTGCACTCAAACTTGTGTGCCCGCCTCTTGCCAGCCACTTCACTGTCAACCAGCACCTCCAGGCTCCTGCATCTGTCAGCCGGTGGTTACCTGCCAGTCTCCCTGTTGTGGAAAGAGTAGCGGCAAATCAACTTCATGTGTTATGGTTTCTGGCAGACTGACTGGCAGTGGACGCACTTCCAGTCAGAGCGGCTGCCAATCTGGACCCGCTTCCAATCAGAGCAGCTGCCAATCTCCTTCCTGCCCACCCCCTTGCTGTGTGACTGGTTTAGGCAAACCTTCCAGCAATGGCCCCGGTTGCTGTCCACCAACTTCTTCTAATGTGTGCCAAGCAGGCACCTGCGCGTCTGCTTCCTGACAACCTAGCTGTGAGTCCAGCCTCCCTGAGGCCCATCTTCACGATGGAATACTTCATAGCTCTTCTGAGGATGTGCTACAGTCCACAAGCGTGGAGCCATCCTGTGGGTGTCTGCCTCCAGCCCTGCACAGACGCTACCCTCTCTGGCTTTCCTGGAGTTCGGACTCAGGTTCTCTCCAAGTGCTGGGGAGAGAATGCATCAGCTCTGAGATCATACCCCAGGATGATGTGTCAGCAGGCATGATCTTCTCTACAGCACGCATTTCCCGATGTCAGTTCATTTCACGTCAGCAAAGCCTTCTCTCCAATTCTTCTTTCTTTTGGTTTTGCCTGGTCTTTCTGGAGATGCTTTTGCTACCAACTGCTAATAAAAATGTGAGTGGTTAAGTATAATAAGTAAGACTTATAGACTGCTTTCATTCCTTTCCACCCAGTACACACGGATTTCATTGAGGTCATGTTTGAATACACTGACCCTGAGCCCTCTGGTCGTGGGTCTGCCTTGATTTACATGGGTAGCAGGTGTCTGGAACTACAGATGCTCAAGTTGGGAGGAAAGATAAGTAATTATCCGGTTTCTAACCTTTCACCACCAAGAACTCTTTGGAATTGAGTGATCTCAGTTTCCCCATCATGAGTGGGTTTGAAAAACCCAAGACAGAGATAATTCAGGAAAGCTATAGATGAACATAAACCTAGGGGATGAGTGTGGAGTAATATACCTTTAAATCCAGCACCCTGGAGGCTGAGAGGATAATGAGCTCTGGGCTGCCCAGGGTACATAAGGAGATGCCGTCACAGAAGTAACTGAAGCGACCAGGGATGCAGCTGATTCGTAAGATGCTTACCTGGCATGCATGAAGCCCTGGGCTAGATCCAGAGCACCTCATAAATCAGGCATGATAGTGCATGCCTCCAATCCCAGCACCTGTGAGGAGAAATGGTAGTTCAAGGTCACCTTCAGATACATAATGAATTCCAGGTCACCTTGGGTTACAGAGAGCCCACATCAAACCAAACCAAAACCAGATCAAAACCATCCACATACAAGTAAGTAAATAAATCTGAGATATTGGACATGGAGGAGAGCTTAGGGCTAATTCACTTAATACTAGGTGTGCTTGTTTGTTTTTTTCCAAGTTAGGGTATAGTGGTTTGAAAAAAAAAATGGCTCCCAAAGGGAGTGGTAGTATTGAGAGGCATGTTCTTGTTGGAAGAAGTGTGTCACTGTGGAGGTGGGCTTTGAGGTCTCATATATGCTGAAGCCACACCCAGTGAGACAGATTACTTATTGTTGCCTGCAAGATATAGAACTCTCAGCTCCTTCTCCAGCACCATGTCTGACTGCAAGCTGCCTTGATTTCCACCATGATGGTAATGGTCTAAACCTCTGAGCTTTAAAAAAACCACCCCAATTACATGTTTCCCTTTATAAAAGTTGCTGTGGCCATTGTGTCTCTTCACAGCAATAGAAATCCTAACTAAGACACAGGGTTTCTCTGTGTAGCCCTAGCTGTCCTGGAACTTGCTCTGTAGACCAGGCTGGCCTCGAACCCAGAGATTCACCTGCCTTTGACTCCCAAGTCATGAGATTAAAGGTGTGCACCATCATTGCCCAGCTAAGTCTTTTTACAATTAAGTTATTTAATGGCCGATTTAAAAGAAACAAAAAAATAAATAAATATGTTTCTTAGCTGGGGCAAGATTCCTGACAGGTATACATCAACTAAACAGAGAGACCTGTGCGAAAATGACACACTATCTGTGCAGACAGGTTTTAGTTACATCCTGTTTATTGATGGAGTAGGTCCATTCAGAAAGTTTATCCATCAAAAGGCTTGGAGTCTGACTAGTCATCAAATTTTAGCCCTGTTTGGTAGCAGTGAAAAGCTGAGGTGGCCAGTAGCTCTCTCTCACAATGACATCGAAGAAAGTTCAGATCTACACACTCACATTGGAGAACTTTCCACGACACACTCGGGACTTAAGAGTCAAAGTATTGCTGACCACCAGCAAGGACTCTTACTCTGACAGCCCATGTTCTTGGCCACCATTTGTATTGCTACTTGTAGCTGCCCTCTGTATGCCTTGACGCTGAGCAACAGGCCTGTATGACAGTAGTAGCAGACATAATTGCCACAATATTGAGATAACTAAAATCTTGTTTCAAAAAGCTACAAATTGAGATTAAAAAAACAATCAAAGGTAGAACTTTATACCAGCAAACTATACCCACATTACCCAGCTATAGAAACATTAAGACGTTGAGTCAGATCCCCTTAGTCAATCTACATCACCTATAGATCAGCCTACAATGTGCCTACAAAATATGAAGTTAGGGTGACCAATCCTGAGGATGATGTCGTTATAGAAGTCAAACGTCAAAGGCCACAGTTAGTTCTCTTCTGAGAGAAAAGTGTCCAGTTCTTTGTGTACATACTAAGCTGTATTTTAACAAAACAACCCTTACACATTTAAAGTTTAAAATGGACCACCATCTTTCCTTTCCAGGAGAAAACAAGAAAAGATTGAAAAACAAGCAAAGTTATCATAGGGATTGCCAACTCTAAATAAAATCCTACAGGTTCTGATGATTCTCTCATTTAGTGGCAGGGCTCAAGTCATCATCAGCAGGTTTTTTTTTTCCTACATAGTCTTGGCAACCTGGAACTCACAGAGATCTGCCTGCCTCTGCTTCCCAAATGCTGGGATTATGCTCCACAGTTCTCCTCCTATTTGGAAAGAAATATAACAAAAAAATTACATTTGTTTATTATTTTGCATATGTGTATGTGTGTGGGCATGTGCCATGATGTTCGTGTGGAGGTGAGAGGATGACTTGTAGGAGTCAGTTCTCTTCATCCATCATGTGGGTGCTGGGGATCACACTGACATCACCATCTTCAGCTGTTGAGTCATCTTGCTGGCTTGAGAATTTTATTTTAAAAGTGTCACCTTCAACTGCAAGGATGTCTGTTAAACTTCTCAATTAGACACACCATAGGAGAAGCTGTGCTGTCAAAATGTTCACTTAACCTGAACAACATCTCCAATCTATCCTTTGTTGACCTCCTGCACCTTGTTTTGGTGTGTGTATATGGGTGTGGTTCACATGCATAGGTGTGTGGATATGATCGTGCCCATGCATATGTGTATGGAAGCCAAAAGAGGATGTCAGGGGTCCTGCTCTATCTCTGTCTTGTTGCCTTGAGACAGGGTCCTCACTGAACCTGGAGCTAGGTTTGTAGCTAGCAAGCCCCAGGTAAGTCTTTTTTTCTCTGCCCCACAGAGTGCTGGGGTTATAGGCCAAATGCCTGGCTACTCCTGGCTCTATGTGGGTGCTCAAGTCTTCACACATGCATGTCAAGAGCTTCTACCCACTAAGTGATCTCCCCAGCACTCTACAACCTACGTTTTTTAAAGTTAAAAAATTACACAAGAGAAAGTAGACATATGTGTTGTCAAATGTTAACTGTTCATATTCACATAGAGATACTGTGGAATCTCTGAGTCAATATACAGAGAAAAGAGGGGAAAAAAAACCCTGAATTCCATGCACTACCACACAGGGCCCCAGAGCCCTTCTGTTTCCAACAGAATGGCAAGAGCAGGTTTTTATTTTTTTCTCACACAAAGCACACTTGTGGGGTTGATTCCATATAGATTTTTGTTGAGACAGGAGGGGATTAAAAAACAAACTTAAAACAGAAAAATGTGGAGATTTTTTTTTGGTGGGGGGTATGGCTGTCTAGTTATTCTCGTACTGGGGCCTACAGTGCACCAGCCAGCCCACCCCACAGAATCTCCTGTGTCTGCCTCTCCAGTACTAGGATTTCAAGTGCCCATCACCATGCCTACTTCACCTTTATGTGAGTCCTGAGGATCAAGCTCAGGCGTGCATGCTCTCAGACCAAGCACTTGACCAACTCGGCCAACTCCCCAGCCCCCAAATGCAACACTTTAAAGCAATTTGAGACAAAAATAAATAAATACACAATTTCATGTTGCATATATAAATCTTGAAGTTTGCAAATCCTAAGCTAGATGCTATTTACACACCTTGTGGATAGTACAGACTATCTCCAGGTTTCGATAAATAACAGCTGCAAGAATGATCCACAATGAAATCACGGAAGAGGCTGCAGCTGAGGGTAGAAATGGCCTAAAAGGAGAAGTTACAAAGGAACATCACTATCATGGACAATGTTTTGTTTCAATTACATTTCTTTAAACATTCAAAGCAGATGTAAAAAAAGAAAGGAAAAGGAAGGAAAGAAGGAGAAAATATGTCTACTGCTGGTTAGGTGTTGACATGTTTCTTTTGGGTTTTTAAAAATCGCTCTTCTACTCAAGGCATAAGTGTAAATGAGGTTTAGTTATGAGCATGTTCAGGCTGGGCAGAACTCTGCTCATAACAGGAGGTTTTATGGACAAGTTCTAGCAAATCTACAAGGAGCAAATAAATGCCACAATATCTGAACTGACGCCAAGCATGATAAACAAACAAACAAAAAAAACCCACAGATCTTCCCAACCCATCTTTATACCCAACAAGTGTAGAGCCTATAGTTAGTGTGGTGGCAGAGGACCAGCAATAAGTTGAGAAACCCATAACTTAGACAATAAAAGGAATAAGACAGTTGGATCTGGTAGCCCAGTTGCTAGTTTAATAGCTAATTCTAGCTACTTGGGAGATTGGGGCAGAAGGGTCTCAGGTTCAAGACCTGCCAAGAAACAGAATTAGTTCAAGGCAACCCTTGAACTCAAAACTTTTAAACAGTAAAAAGAGGGTTACAGCTATAGTTCAGGGGTTGAGCACTTGCCTAGCATGTGGAAAACTGTAGATTCAATCCCAGCACTGCAAAAGTTGATTAATTTATTTACCAAAATAAACTTGATAGGTCAAAAATGTTGCAAAGTGATATTTGAAAACTCAGGCTTGCTGATGTCTGGTATGGGTAATGAAAATATTTGAGGAGATGGACCTGGCCCCCAAAACACCATAACATAAGGTCCCTGAGAAATAATTCTTGAAGTTGACCTGTGGTCTTTATAAGCACACACATGTGCACATGCACCTGTACACACACGTAAACACACACACACACACACACACACACACACACACACACACACACGCATGCTTATGAACTATACATTTTATACATGGGATCTGTTTAATTGTGTTAATGATCTATGCTTCAAAATAAATTATTTCAAAATGCAGTAGTTTGTAGCAACAAACATATAGTATCTTGGTGTCTCTGTGGGCCAGAAATATAGGTGTGGCTTAGCCAAGAGCCTCTATCTTAGGATCTGAGCCAAGTAAGGTCAAGAACCTAACAAGTGAGTCCATATCTTCCTCCAGCAACCT